TTTCTCATTCAGTTTTGTCTGAATTAAATCAATCTTTAATAGATTTTCTTTCAAAGCAAAGGCAGTGTCCAAGAGGACAAAACCATTCACTGTTGTCTTCTGGGAACTACAGCTCATGCAGATAGTAACTTTCATGACATTGTCAAATATGTAGTTGGAAATTACACCATAATAGTTTATCTTTCTGGTTCTGGGCCATTATCTTTTATAGTCACCACAAGGGCAGTCACACGTCATCAGTCCTTTATCACAGGTCATACTACACCTATAGAAATGTGAAAAATGACTCACATCGATCTTTCCTCAAGAATATGTGGCTCTCACAAGCTCTTGGCCATCACTGTACATTTACCAAGTGGCCAGTAAGAGCCACCAGCCCAGTGGAAAAAGCACCAAATGAAACGTGAGGTACCATTGTGGCCCTTCCATTTTAAAAAATTGAGTTAGGATGACCAAGTTAAAATATAGGAAAAATTTAAAGTAAGATAATATATAACCTAATGCTAATTCGTATAGATCGAATGCTAAGTTCAATAGGACCCAAGTTCAACGTGGGCATAGCATAACGTTGCATAATGTTGAATCCAGACTATAGAACTAGATTTTTTTTTTCCTGTAAGGGACCTTAATGATTATCCAACACCCTCACTTTACAGACGAGATCCAGAAACCCAACTAACTGGAACAGAATCCTTGTTAGCTCCAGATCAGCATATTTATTTATTTATTTATTTGTGAGGAGATCAGTCCTGTGCTAACATCTGAGAATCCTCCTCTTTTTTGCTGAGGAAGACTGGCCCTGGGCTAACATCCGTGCCCATCTTCCTCCACTTTATATGGGACGCCGCCACAGCATGGCCCGACAAGCAGTGCGTTGGTGCGCGCCCAGGATCCGAACCGGCGAACCCCGAGACGCCGCAGTGGAGCGTGCACACTTAACCGCTTGCGCCACCGGGCCGGCCCCAGGGATCAGCATATTTTTTAACGTGTGAATACAAGAAATGTTTTAATAGTCTATTAAAGATGTATCAAATGTTCCCCATTTCCTCTTTTGCAAGAAGTATATATGAAAGTATTGCTAATCCTGAACGACACGTAATAAAAAAAGTGGCAGATCGCTGAAGATGTGCTTTCTGCAAACTCTGAAACAACTTCACAAGTCAACGCCCAAAGGACTTGCTTCCCGCTGCACAGGTGAGTCCAACCACAAGACACTCTTTCTATGAAGGTTTCAACTTGCAAAGCATAGCAAGTCAGGCACTTAATGTGCAAGGTTGCTTGCGTTTCCTTAGAAGGAAACCAGGAGTGGGAGCTTTCCACTTTGGACTGAGTATTTTTCTAGTAATACTCTCCTAACATCCGACAGCACCTCACAGGAGCAGAGACTGAGCGTGAATGCCCACATCAACCTTCATGACCATCTTGAGACGAATCTGTCCTGCTTCTTTTACTCCTTCTTCGGCTGCAAGTCAAGGCATCTGATTTCTTCCTGCTACAACACTTTCTTAACATTTTAATGCAGTTTGCCCAGAAAATGATTTGCTTCACCAAATTCTTTTAGGAGGTAATTTTCTAGAACACGTGTACAGTCATGCTCCGCATAACAATGTTTCGGTCAATGACGGGCTGCATATACAACAGCGGTCCCACATACCTTATGTAGGCTTCGCCCTCTAGCTTTGTGTAAGTCACTCTATGATGCTGGCACAACGACAAAACCACCTAACAACGCATCCTCGTCGTTAAGCGACGCGTGACTGTACTGAGAAGGAAGTTAAAACTGTGTTTCAAAGGTGAGCACAAGCACAGCCTCAGACATGGTTACACTATAACCCCCACACGACACTGTGTGTAAGTCATCTGGCACACACCTCTGTTTGCACATTCTCCCCGTCAACCACATCACCCGCAAACACTGAGGTCCACAGACGGGCGATTTCTGACACTCTAGTCATAGGCCCTTCTCAGAATGCCGTGGTCATCAAAGACTGCTGATGAGAGATCCAACAGTTAAGTGAGACACTCTTCACAGGCTGACAGATCATCACATACAGAAAGGTCACTGTACGCGGAATTCTGCCAAGAAACTGTGAGGCAAGTAGTCCTGCCATAAATACACACATTCACACATACCCCACAAGAAGAAAAATAGAAGGGTTAGGTACAGCTCCAGCTCAACAAGATCCTGCAAAATGTAATGGAGGAGCTTGCCACAAGAGAAGCAGTGGGGAAAAAAAAAAAATTAAAAGGCAGTACTGTTCCTGGCAAGGTTCAGATGGAAAAACTGCAACAGATCCCAGAAGCAGAGCTATAGCCAGGAATAACCAAAGCCCAGGCCATTTTAAGTAAGGGCAGGATAACACTCATGGAGGATTCACCACCTGGTTGCCCTGTCCTCTGGGCCTCCAGGCTGAGCCATGGAGTACTTGTAGTAGACCACAAGTCAATCAACAAACCTCTACTAAATATTTGCTACATGTTCAAGCCTCTGTGAGTCATTGTCCAGGGATGAGCAGACCTTTGTCAGGCGTATGCCAGGCACTGTGTAGGCACTGTAGACCATCTTCACAACACAACAAGCTGGGGGAGGCACTGCCCCTATTTCACATGTGACAGGACCAATGCCAGGGAGATTCCACAAGACCACGTGAGTAATAAGTGGAGTCAGCCCTGACTCCAATTCTGCCTGACTCCAAAGCCCACGACACCACATTACCACCCATAAAATATGGCTCCTGCCCTGAAGAGGCCTAAAATAACCTAAACCAATTACAGATCGATACAGCCAAGATAATGAAGGCCCCGCAAGCAAGTACTTTAGACTGTAAAGAAAGAGGAGAGAAATGAGTAGTTAGAGAAGACATTATGAAAGAAGTAGGACCTAGGCTGTTCTTCGGAGGATGGGTAAGATCTGTACAGGACAGTGGAGAGAAGGGAAGGAGTTTCTAAGGAGAGCAATCTGAGCAGTGACACTGCAGTGGGCACGAGCCTGGCCCCCTTAGCAGGACAGCAAGAAGACCAAACCGCACAGAGCAAAAAGATGTATGCTGAACTGAAAATAGGATTTAGATAGGAGGGGTGAGGCCTGATTACGAAAGGCCTTGAAAAATCCGGCAAATTATTTCAGACTTGAGATAGTAGAGAATGGCAAGGAAGTGAAGGTTACAAAGCAAGGAGAAACATGAGGAAGTGATAGTTTAAAAAGATTAGACGGCAAAACATACTGAAGAGACCAGAAAGGAGGCGTCTCATTCATTCATTCATTCATTCATTCATCAAACATTTACTGAGGACTTACTAAGAGCCAGGCTTGGGAGGCCAGCTCAGAGGCTGCTCCAGTCTGCAGGAGAGGAAGAGCGAGTTTCCGGACTAGGATGTGGAGGGAGGGATCTATACACATCACATCTCAAAGGTCTGGATGACTCATTGATATAAAGGATGAAAGAAAAGATGGTTAAAGATAATTCCAAAGGTTCAAGATTGACATGATTTCCACCTTTACTAGGAACCTCAAAAAGCAATGAGAATAAACCAAAGTATAAAAAGAGCTTGGAAGATGTAGAATACTCAACAAATAAACCCCCCAAAGGCCTCTTCTTTATCCTGGAAGCTTATCCACATATAGTTTGGAGGTAAGACTCTTCATTGAGAAAAACCATTTCTTTGAACTAAACCATTTCCCTGGACAAGGAGGACAGAATGCTGCCTACTCACAAGGGCTCCATCAACCCTCCCACACGCCTCCATCATCTAAAACTAAACCAATCTCCTTCAGAAACGTGGCTGCCCACTCCTGCCCAGCCACCAGTTTTGACTTTGGGGAAGTGGCAAGGCCAAGTGGACGGGGGGAATATAAAGTGGGCAGGGTCACTGTAGAGCGCTGGACCTTAGGGAGGGGGCAGTGGTTCAGGAAATCATTTTAAATAAAGACTCCCAGCTCTGCTCTCATTTCTACGCCCACTTCCTAGTGTTTTACAGTTACTTGTCCTCAAATAGATAGGAAGGCCTTGAAGATTCTTTACCAAATCGCAGTGCTTTTGTTCAGAAACTATTTCAGATGTGCATATTTATGAATATATTAACTCCAAGCACAGCCAGCATATGGTTGAGACACAAATTCTTCTTAATAATTTATATGTTAACTACAAATATTTAAAGCTCATTTTAATTTTATATTCAGCAATAGTGCAATTCACTTTGGGGGCAAATCCTGAAAGCCCACTCACTGGAAAATGTGAGAAATGAAAACTGTAGCTATCAAACTTCTATAACTACAAAGAGTGCTCCAGTCCCAAATAAAAAACCCAAGTGCCAATACCTCAGAGAAACCTAGCCCTGCGTGCACAATTCAGGGTGGTATTCTCTCAGCACGGTCCAGCGTTAGCAACAGCAGATCTGTATTCAGTTGTAAGTGGAAATGCATACTCTTTTCTGCAGAATGAGGCATTCAACTACTCTCATATGTAAAAGTAAAAGTAAAAGCCCTAGATGATAGTGTCCAAGTTAAACTTGAAAAGGTACATTACAAAAGAAACGGTTGTTCTGGAAAATCCTTCAACATCTCTCTCATAACATCTACTCAGCTTAGTAAGAAAGAAATCAGAGCAGAAAGAAACCCAGTGAAAAATGGTTGCACAGAAGCGTGTGAGGATTCTTGCTCAGACCCCTTGCGGGACAGCCAAAGGCCTAGTCAGGAAAATTCCAAGAGCAAGTCCTCCGCATCCCAAGACAGGGGCTTCAAATCAGGCCAGGTATCTTTCCCTCTTTAACACGAAAGGTAAACAGCCCTCAAAGTCTTCCAGACTCCGAGGAGACGGGAGTTTTCACGCCAAGAGGGAGAGACCCACATGACCGCGAAGAGAAACTACAGCCCATTAGCCTCTCCCTCCCCCTCCGATCCCTCGCGGGGCCACCGGACAGGGGTCCCTCTGCCGCTGCAGCCCATCGCCCCGAGTGACAGGTCGCCCGGCGGAAGCCCCTAAATCCCTGACCCCACTTACTGGCGCCGCGAACACAGGCGGGGGCCCGCCCCTGCGGCGAGCGCAGCTCCTCGGCGAGTGGGGCGCAGCTGTGCGCTCGGGCACCGGGGATGGGGGCGATCCCTGCTAGGACAGCCCGAGGGGGCCGTGCAGGGACGCCCGGGAGGTCCGGCGAGTGGCACGGGCCGCGCGGCGCATGGTGGAGCAGCAGGGACCCGGCCGCTCTCCAGCCTCCGGCAGGAAAACAAACAAAAGGCAGGCGGCTGCTCGTGGGGACGACCGGCCGCTTTCCCTGGGAAAAGTAACCCTGCAGCTCCCCTCGCTGGCCCTGCGCGTCCCTGCACCGCGCCAGCCCGCCGGGGGCGCCGAGCCCGACCCAGCCCTGGGGTCCCTGCGCCGAGCTGACCACCAAGGCGGCCTCCAGCTCCACAAAACGCACGCCTTATTGCGGACCAGCTGCATCAGGCATCCAGATTTAGAAACGGAGGCCGTGGATGCACGTTCTGAGAACATCTCATTAAAGATAATCATGGTGAAAACCTTTTCCTGACTTTAAAAAACCTAACAGAGGTTGCACGACACTGTGAATGAAACCAATGCCACTGAACTGTACGCTCAAAAACGGTGAAGATGGCAAATGGTGTTATGTATATTTTGCCACAATAAAAAATATTTAAAATAAAAACGCAACTGATTGCCTGTTAGCAGTCATTTGAACTTTTAAGAGGTTTTATATTGTTAGCAACTTTAGCTTGAAAGACTGCATTGTTATCCAGGCGGGAAACTAACTATATTATGAGCCACAAAATTGTAACTAGTTATATGAAATCAAACACAATACTTTTTAAACACACTCATTTGTATCACAAATTATACATTACCTTAAACCATCCACATAAGAGACTGGCTCTGAAGTGCTTTAAAAAAAGAAATGGCTTCAAGGTCCTTGACTTAAATTTACATAATTGCCCCAAGCCAATGTTTCTCAAACTTTAGTTGGAGGCGTCAGAATCACTTGCAGGGCTTGTTGAAACAGATGCTGGGCCCCATCCCCAGAATTCTGGTGCTGATGCTGCTGGTTAGGGGAACCACAGCCCTACGCAACCCAATTTTAATTAATAAAGCAGTAACTCTTTTACACATTCTGGATATTTCTCCAAATTTAAATTCCCCAGTTCATCACCGTATCCATTTTCTCTCACTATTTTCATTTCTGAATTCTAAGAACTGAAGATAGTTTTTTTCTAAAAGAATCTATAAAAAAGGACTGAATCCCTCTCTCCTCTTGTTTCTGTTGAACAAACCTGCAACATACCAGACAGTCAAGCTTCCTTAGACTTCCTGTTCCAAATGGCAAAGAATCATCTGGCCACTTGGCAAATGTATAACATTTATCTGCCTTTGTGTTTACCTATATAACACCCAAACCATATGGCAAATGAAAATTGAAAGTCATTGTCAATGAAAACATAAGCAGACAAGAGGCAGTCTAACAAATCTTATACTGTTCCCATGAAAAGTGATTTTTAAGGTGTCTAAAATTATCAGTTTTAGTCAAATTAGTTGTCCAAGCAAGTCTACCTGGCAAATAGAGGGACTGTCTTGGTCTACCTTTAACAAGGGTCCACTGGGCTAGTAAATGGCTTAGGTCAGTAGCTCTAGCCTGGGGAAAACTATAATTCTGTCAATAAAATATGAGATAATACAACCCTGTAAAGAGGTCTAGTGGATGCTGATCTAAAATAGAAAATAAGTAGCTGTGAAACATAGCGTTTTAATAAAATAGGTGCTCAATTTATTGTTACAAATCTAATTATTATTTTATTAAGCTTGTTTGCTAGAATAATAGAAATCATCTGGGCTAACTGACCAAGCTGTCTTAAATTAGCATTCAACACATCTAATGAAATAGACTGGTTCTGAAAATATTTCAATACCTCATTCTTCATTTGCAAAACTGATATTTTGTATTGAGTCACATGTACCATTTTCTTCTATTATAAATCCTTACATCTTACTCTTTCTCCCAATTTAAGTTTCAAAATCCAATTTTAAAGAGGTCATCGGGAGGAAAATCACCCTTAAAAGACCTAAGCCCTAGAGTCTCCTTTAAAAACTAAAAAAACTATTAAATTTTTGGCCTCCGTTAAACAAGAAGGTACTTTTTATAGATAGCTGATTTAGGATGCAAATAAAAATGTACCCACCCCAAGGGTAGACCCTAATATTAAAAGACAGCAGTTGGGCTTCCTTATTGTAGCTCACCATTCTGCCCCCACCCCTTTTTTTTTTGCTTCTATTTTTCTGCCGAAGATGTACTGCATCTCCGGAATAACATAATGGATAAGAGATTTAAACTCCGTGAACTCGTTGAACGTAAGGTCTTGGAATCCTGATGACTATTAATACCTGGCAACTAGTAGAAATTTTAGAAACTACGTAAATGTTTGCTGAATGAAGGTAGGCTGTAAGACTGTAGGTTTTCACAGAGCACGCAAAATTCCGCATTTAAAACATTGTAAAATGTGGAAAAATAACATACCGCCCGATAAATACGGGAGCCTTCTGTAGAAATGAAATCGGGTGTTTGGGCTTTAAAAGGCGGGGCGACGACCGTGTATAAATTCCGGCGCTCTACGCGGAACACAGGACTACAAATCCCAGAGTGACTCGCGGCTGCCGTCTCCGCAAGACTCGGGTTTCTGAGCCTTGGAGCCGCAACATCCTTCCCCCGTTGCATGACGGGATCTGTAGTGAGACAAGCCTTGGGTTGCGTTGGGTTTTCTTTCCCCCTGCTGCTCTGCTAAGCACATCTTTTCCTCAACCTTCGGACCCGTGCTTTAAAAAAGTTTAGTCTTTATAACAGCTTGTGACTGTAGTGGAGTTTCACCGATTCCCTGCATTCCTGGCGTGGGACTCCAGCCAGAGTCGCTGGGAACTGTCCCGAGCGCCCAGTTCGACGCTTGCCTTAAGGTCTCAATCCTAAATTTGAGTTACAAACGCTTTTGAGATGACGCTTGTTAGAGTCTGCATAAGTGTTCACTGAGCCCAATAGGTGGGTTGAGCTTCGGGTTGGGCAAATTGGCGACCTCACCCGCGGTCCTACTCTGCGCACACAGCGGGCCACGCCCCCTCGTCCTCCGCTGGGCAGCGCCCGGGCCGAGCGGCCGTGTGCGCATGCGGGCGGCGGCGGCGGCGGCGGCGGCGGCACTGCGCATGCTCGGTGCGTCGGCGCAGGTTCCCGTGGCAGAGCGGGCAGCTCCGCAGCCGCGTCCGGGGTCTCCAGCAGGGCCGACGCTCCGGTGTTCGCACAGTCCTCGGCCTCGGCTGGCAGCGGGCGCCCCTTCGCTCCGCGAGTCCCCGGCCGCCGCTCCAGCGCGCCCCAGTCTGGCCCCCTCCCCCGCGAAGATGGCTGCCGTACGCCGGGCCCGCAGTTACTGCCGCTGCCTGGTGCGCTTCTCCGACCGAGAACTCTGCTAAGCCCCGCTGCAGCAGACGGGCAGGAGTAGACACCGGACACCAGCACACCTCCTCGGGGGGCGGTGCAGAGGGCGCCGAGAGCCCCTCGACCGCGGCCGGCCACCCCGCCAGCATGGTAACCGGGGAGGGGGCCCGGGGGACACTGCGGGGCGGGGGCGCGGTGTGCAGGAGGGGCCAGGCCTCGGGGAGCCCCGAGAGAGCCGGGAGTGGAGACTGGGAGGAGTAGGAGCTGCATGGCCGCCGCCCATTATGGGGCCCTTGGCCCGAGAGGCAGTGGAGGGGGTGCCGGCCCTGACCGCTCCCGGGGTTCCTTTCTGCTAAGAGCGAGTTTGCAGGACCGCGGAGGAAAATGCCTCTTAGCTCGCCGAGGACATGGAACCAATCTCGCCCCTTTCGAGGGATTTTATCAAAAGCAGTGAGCAGAGATGGAGGTGAGCCGTCGCAGCATCTGAAATCGGGAGGGAGCCGTGGCCAGTGGAGGCACTTGTTGATTGTTCCCCCTCTGCAAAGCCCTGCCCACGGAGAGGCTGTTCTGGCCTTTAGGAGTCCTGGGTTTAGGACGCACCTGCCCCGGGACGCGTCACTGCCCTAGGTAGGATGTTGGCAGGCGGTCCTGGCGGCGTGGGGTTGGAGGGATTATCTCTCACTTTCCAGCAGTGAGAGCCCGAGAAGAGTCTGCGGTCCAAATGGAGGGACTGAGCTAAGCTCCAGAAATGGCCAACGCAAGTTCCATGAGACTGTTGCATGCTGGAATGTGAAGTCTCTGCCCTACGCCGACTTTCTTTTGCTAGGGTTGCCTGAATCAAGGGTGGAATGACACCAAACTAATTAACTCATAGTAGGCACTCAAATATCTATCGAATAAATGAATGCTGAATGAATTTATTTTATTAAGTTAATCTGGAGGATAGAAAAAGGCACTAATTGTCTACACCGCTAAACTTTCAGAGGTAGTTCTCTGACCAGGATTAAGCACCTGATTTTTTCTGTTTCATTATTCCCATGTGTAAAACAGGAGTAAAATGATGACATGGGCTACTCAAAAAAAAGGTGATGTTGAGGTCAAACTCAGTTGTGAAGAATAAAGTGAAAATCTCTGGGTGACAGCTGGGGACCTACTTATTTCAAGTGGTATTTGAGTTGACAAAATGTAGCAAAACCCCAAATCTAATTGTGTCTTGTTTTTGTCATACTGTCAAAATCAAAGTAATAATAGGTTATACCTGTTCTAACACAGGAACTCAGGGGAGAGGAAAAGTGCCGTCTGTATTATAGGTTTCCTTTCCTTATCCTTGAGATATGTATGCATTATATATCCACGTGGCATTTTATTTGTTAATTCACCCAGTTTTTTTGAGCACCTGTTATCAACCTGGCATAGTGCTAGACCCTTGTAGAATACTAGATTTTCAATATAACCAAACCTGTAAGGTGATTTATGGGAAACTTTTAGTCATAGAATGTCATATATGAAAAGGGACATCAGAGGTCACCAAATCCAACACCCTCTCTTTATAGATGAGACAGCTGAGGCCTGGACTCTTCTTTACTACAAATCAAGCAATGTGTTTGGCCCTAAGTTTATGAAGATTACTGAAATGTTCCCAGTGCACTAACTCGAGGGAAGGGGACAAAAAGAATCTCAATACGAGTTTTTAGTGCTGTGATACAAGCAGAAGTGTTATGGGAAAACAAAAGAGGCAATTAAAAGGATCAAAAAATACTTCTTGCTGGGATGATCCCTGAGCTGAATCTTGAAGGATGAGTGGAAGTAGCCAAGTGAGGAAGAAGTCATTCCAAATGGAGAGAGCAAGCAGCA